TAACTAGGATCAGGTACCTAAAATGGAATAATGAACTACTTAATATAACATTATGTATCAATATTAATATTTAGGTAATTCATTAAAAATCTTTTTAGGTACCTAATTTTTAGAGATTAATTGTTTATGTCTTTTATAGATATGACAACATAAGCCAGCTAATGGTTACATATTTACTGCAGCTATATATCAATGCTTACTGCGAGTATTTAAGGAACAAGATAAATTACCCAATTTTATACAAAGAATAGATTTGCAAAAAAATAGACATTTCAAATATTTTTTTTTTGAATAATTTATTACCTACTTAAAAAAAATTACATTTGGCGTCGAAACCGCCCGGCGTCGAATCGGCCGGCGTCGAAATGTCTTCGCGTCGAAACGGCCGCGTCGAAACGGCTGCGTCGAAACGTCCCATTCCGAACAGCTGCTGATCTAAACCGTTTGCAAATTATGAAGAATACATGCTGCAGATTCGCAAAAGGACTTAGAAAATTCGATCATATTTCCCAAGCCTTCTCCCAAACTGGCTGGCTAACTGTTAATAATTTATATAGATTTATGTTCTTTTCTTTTCTTTTTAAAATACTTTCTACTGCGTCACCATTATATCTTATGAGCAAATTAACTTTTAGATCGTCTACGCACAACGTAAATATGAGAAACAATTTTAATTTATCAATGCCTCGTCACTCTAGTGCTATTTATAATCGTAGTTTTTCTGTAAAACACTTTACACACCGATATTCAAAATTAACGATCTCTACCTGTTTTTAAAAATGCTTTAAAGAGGCAACTCTTTATTAGTCAAATGTAAACTGGTAGATATAATGAGCTACTAATGTCAAATTGTATAGATAAACTTTTAATATTATAGTTATTTAAATGTATATGTTTTGTTAGGATTAGGTGCTAACTGTACAAAAATGTTATTATTTTGTGCAAATAAAGACCCGTTATTATTATTATTTTTTTTTTGTGTCATCGGCTTCAACTGCTAAGGTTATTTCGCCTCGTGTTCTGTGTAGGCTTTGTTACTGTTTCCCAGCGCCACTTTAGGAACAGCACTGTTAATTAGAACCCAACAATGAATGTTCGAGTGGGGAATCCCACCAAGGCATCAGATTAATTTTAAATAATTAAATTAAATGAAAAAATTCCGGCCAACGGTGGGATTCGAACCTGGGACCCTTGGATCCACAGGCAGAGGCTCTACCACTGAGCCACCCACCCCGTAAATTTATTATTATTATTATTATTATTATTATTATTATTATTATTATTATTATTATTATCAGTGCTTATCTACAAAAATTGTGGATGTAAACTTACAATTTATAAATATGTGTAAAAATAAAATCCGAGTAAGACTTTTAAGTCAAAAGTTAAAATTATATATATAAGGTAATTTTGAACAAATTAACAATCAAAAGATAACAAACCCAGTGTTGGGAATAGTGAGTGTGGGACAAGCCCCTAAAAAATCATATCTGATTGCCAGAAGCAAGTTAGCTTGTGTGGAACTAAGGAATTATACCACCTTCACTATTCGCATTGAGTACAGTTGAAAACAAGTTAACAAATTAGTTAAAATTTAAAAAAGGTTTACAGATAGAGGGTGACTGTGGAAAATATATTGAAATTTAAATTTAGAATACAATAGTTAATATGAAAAAGGTTAAACGCAAAAGGCCAAAGGAAAAAACTTCATGAAAATGAAACAGAAAAATGTAAATCTTCCAAAAATTTTAATAATCGATTTTTATTGAATACGGACCTGTGTCATAACCGTTACACACAAATCGAATAACATCCATTTTAATCGCTGAATATTATGAAATAACTGCACTTAATCATGTAATAAAATTTTGCATTAATGTTTATATTATTAACGTAGAAAACTGTGTGTAACCCTGAAACGTTTGCTCTTTATGTCCCGACACTGTTCATAATTTTCTTCCATCTCGATAGCGAAAGTATAAGATAACAGTATATGCCAGTTTTTTTCTTTTCGATATGCACCGTACATAGCAAGGTGACATTTTCTGACACACCCCCGTAGTTTGAAAATATATTATTAATTATATTAAGACAGCAGTCAATATAATATTGTCGTAAAAGTGTCTTATCGTTATTGTATTTATTACGTGATAATTTTCGAACTCTTTATCGTATACAATGTACAGGATGTTTTAGAATTATAAAAATATAAATATTCAGTGAAAAAATTGATTATTTTTATTTTATTGTACACACCATACATTTACTGATCACCGACCTTGATTAAACACTTCTCGCATCCAATGAGGATTATGGTTAGAGCAGTAATATGTAGCTGAGCATATAAATTTTTCTTCATATGCTTTTTAGATGATATCGGCTCTTCTGTGTACTTGATTTGTTGTCGATCGTTTGTTTCTAAAACCAAATTAGTGAGACGGGATCAGATTTTTATTTTCAATTATTGGTTTTAAGCGTTTTAATAGTAGCTTTTCAAATAACTTGGATATTATTGGTAACAATAATATAGGTCTATATGATGTGACTTAATTCTAAGATTTTCCTGGCTTAGGAATTAGGATAACCAGCCATTTTCCATGCATCTGGTATATATTTATGGCGAAATGAAGCATTTATGAGGTATATCAATTTAACGATAGCCTTCCTTGGCAGTTTCTTTAATATTTCTAAAGTAATAAGGTCATATCCTAGGGCTTTCTGTGGGTTAGAGTTTGTCTGAATTTCTTTCGCAATTTCATTAGGAGTAACTAGCCAAATTTCAAGGTTTTCCATATTATGGATTGTCTCATTAAGAGTGTCTTGATTTTCATATTATTAGAACGTCTTTTGTAGGTGGTCAGTGAAAATATCAGATTTCTGTTGATTGTTTCTTGCCATTTGTTATCTGCTATTCTGATAGGAACCCAGTGGCTACACAAATTTTTTCTTTTAGTTTCCTTTCAGAGCGAATAATCAGTTTCTTCGCCATTACTACTCTAAGTATCCGTTAAAGGATTATTCTTCGTAATTTAAAATTTCTGAAATAAGGCTTAATATTGTTGGGCCAGAAAATTTTCCATATCATTTGTTTGATTTTCCTAAATCAGATCCTGCGTTTTCGCTGTTAAAGCATACAGAATGTTGCTTCTGTAATCAGAGTTAATTTGCTTAGTTTGGTCCTCGATTATATTATTGATAAATAGTGAAAACAATAGAGGTCCTAAGTTTGACCCTTGTGAGAGCTCAATGTAGCTGTGTTGGGGTAAATTTGAAACCGCTGTATATGACAAATTATTGATGGCGAATATCTAAATAAGTATTAAATAAGTCGACAAGATTATTGCTAATGCCGTTGTAGTCCAATTTGTAGAGAAGTAAGTTATGATCTATAATATCAAATGCTTTGGCAACGTCTATATATCGTCAGTGTAAATCGCAAAATAGATTATAACTCATTCTACTACCAAAATGATTACCTGAAAAATACTTGGCTTTCCTGTAAAATTTTCCTAAATGGAGTTACGCACTTTGCAATTAACACTGACGATATATGACTTGTCTCACTTAGTGACATTTACGTAGGGATAATTGAATATACCAGAATTAAAGTTGAAATTATTTGATTTTGGTGTGTAAATGTTCAAAATTTGAGAAGGAATAGTTGTCTTTCAAAAAAAAAAAAACGGTTGCTTGTTTAATTCTGACACATTGCTATGGGATTTTCACTAGTAATACCACTAGAGGTCAAATTATTTCCGGAAATTTCCTGATATTAATTTGACCTCGCGTGGTATTCGGTAAGAAAATTCCACGCCGAATTATGGTTGAAAATTAAATATTTTTAAAATTTATTTTTCGTTTCTCAACAATGCAAATTATTTTCTCCAAGTCACCAGTGAAACATAAAAGGTGTTGTCGCCTTGATTGTTGAGTTGTCATGGTAACTAAGTGAGACCCTAACCTCGAATATAATTTCAGTTTTGAAGTTGTCAAGCGGCCCGACGTAAAAAAATGTTTCGCTGCAATTATTTAGGCCTTCAAATTGCTTATTTCTACTCATTGTAGTTGCATGAGAATACCATTTGAAAATAGAAAATAGTATATTCTTTAATTTTACGTAAGTTTTGAATAACTACAAGTGGTAGAAAATTGTTTTTCTGCGTTTTTATTAACATGCGTTATGAGCGCTTTAAAATGGTATGAAATTCATAACCAGCGTCAGCAAGCATCAATCGTAGGAGGCTGTGATCATTGTATTTTGACAGTTCAAAACATTAAATAACTCGCGTTTTGTTGCGATAAAGAATATTGCACAGCAAGTAAAACCAACAAAATTACCTATTTGTTTAAAAATGAATCGATTTGAAAATCATACGCTATGCAAAATATGCGTGAAATTGTCTGATGTAATGATCAATTATTGCACCATGACTTACTTACTCGGATTAATAGAGGATTGTGGCTCCAACTTGAAAAACGAAAATTTGTTCCGAATTATCCACGAATATTTGCACCTAAACTACGCAAAATTCAAAGTGCTGAATGGGAAAAAGGTGAATAAATTAGTGTCTAAATATTATATATATTTTATTAGACATAGACACATAATTCAAAGCATCCAAAGTCCTGCATTTTCGCCATTAAGAAGAAAAGAAGTGGCCGAAGAATATAGAAAACACCTTAGCATTATAACTAAAATGTATCAAAACTAAACCTATTATGTGAACAAATAAAAACCAGTCTGTCAAAAATGGTTTGTTATTGTAAACGTCAAAAATTTTCCAGTATAATTCGCTGTTGGGTACCCCACGAGAAAAAAATTTCCACTAAAATACCTCCGTTGCCATGGTGATCTGTCAAAAACACGTATTTTGATTGGTTCAAAATTACAGGTGTGGAATTTTCTCGTTAATCTTTATGTTAATGAAATGAATTATGTCTATCTATTTAAAATAATCAAATTTTGAAAAATACCCTAAAACGTTTTTTCTTTGTTCCAGGGATACAATGGATGATGACTCCGATGACAAAGACACAAAGCGGTAAATCGTTCTCAAATATCATACACCTATTTACATGACTAATTTTGTATTTGCATTTCTTTGTAGAAAATCTAGAAATTTAAGTGAGAAAAAACGAAGAGACCAATTTAACATGCTGGTAAACGAATTAAGTTCCATGATTACGACCAGTGGGAGGAAAATGGACAAATCGACAGTGCTTAAGTCTACCATTTCGTTTTTGAAAAACCACAATGGTAAGAAACAACTGTGTTTCGTTTAGATATTCAAATAGGGCAAGTTGACTTTTAAAATAGAATTTGGTTAAACTTACAACCTAGTAACAATGACGTTTTGGTCCTTATTTTCTTTTCTAAATTAGCACAAAATATTTGAAACGCAATACACGAAAAATAAACCCACTTTTTTAAAATCTAAATAACTAAACAAACTACAATAAGTCGTTGAGAATAAATGAATATTATTTGTCAATAAAAGAATGAAGTTAATCACATGCAACTAGCAATACAAAAAAAAGTAATATTGGTTGATAGATATGATAGATATCAGTAATTTTTTACCAAAACACAATTTTATAAACAATCTAGTCAAAATTAGAAAAAATATTCGCTCTGCTCATCCCGCAAATATTTCATAACTACTTTCATAAATAGCTATTTGATTCCTTAAAGTGAAAATAAATTTTTTTAAAAATTAAATAATGAAATACGGTTTTTTTTTAAGGATAATGAGTTTTGAATTTTTTCTTTTCTTTTTAGAAATAACGGTTAGATCTCGTGTAAACGAAATCCAAGAAGACTGGAAACCTACGTTTTTAACTAACGAAGAGTTCACTCACTTAGTTTTAGAAGCTGTGGATGGTTTTATAATAATATTTTCTACAGATGGCCAAATAGTTTATGTTTCGGAAAGCGTGGCATCATTATTAGGACATTTACCGGTAAGCATATTTTTTTACACGTTTAACTGACAGAAAATAATTAAATTATCAGTCACATTTTCAAGAACATCTTCTAAGTCAGTGGTCGCCAACCTGTCGATCGCGAGCTACCGGTAGCTCGCGGAGGCAATTCTGGTAGCTCTCACAACGATTTTAATTTAAAAAATACAAACTGCAAAAATCAGAGAATCTTCCGAAAATTCCACAAAAAAATCTAATTGTCATTATATTAAACATAAACAGCCTCAACGTTGCGGTGAGCGATCTGCCGCTGACGCCATCAAGCTAAAATCGGCTAGAACCGACCAGCCGGACCAGCGCGTTAGTGTTCGAGAACGATCAGGATTGCTTTGAACGGGATAAATACGCACGGCGCGACGACATTGCGCTTAGTTTAAAACTGAACGTGTAACCAACGTCCAGCGGTTGGGTTAGTAGAGAACAACAAAAAATAATATTATGGCAAGCAGTTGTAAGAAGGTAAAGACATACCACTTTCATTCGGAATAGGAAGAACAATACTTTTTTACAGAAGTTAAAGATAAAAATGTGTGTTTGTTATGTAATACTTCGGTCTCCGTTGCTAAAAAAGGAAATATTGAGAGACATCATAAAACTGTACATTCTAATTTTGAAAAATTATTCCCACTACATTCTGCCGCCAGAAAGGAGAAACTGAAACAGTTAAAAAAGCAGTTAATTGGACAACAATCAATATTTTTAAGAACAGTCGACAAAAATAAGGCTGCAACTGAAGCATCGTACCGTGTGTTCCAGATAATTGCACAAAAAAAGAAACCTTATGAAGACGGGGAAATGATAAAACAGGCGTTTTTAGAAGCTGCTGATTCGTTATTTGCCAACTTTAGAAATAAAGACGAGATAGTGTCAGCTATAAAATCTATGCAAGTTTCTGCTAATACAGTGATGAGACGTGTAGAAGTAATGAGCAATGATATTTTTTTACAGTTAAGAACTGACTTAGATAACTGTGTTTATTTTTCACTTCAACTGGATGAATCAACAGATGTCGTTGACACTGCCCAGAAAGCCGTGTTCTTTAGGATGGTTTTTAGTGATTTTACGATTAAAGAAGATCTTTTGAAGTTTATTCCACTGAAAGGACACACTACTAGACAGGAGTTGTTTCCTCATTTAAAAAATATTATTTCTTCCGAGAAAATTCCAATATCGAAAATGGTAGGCTTGACAACCGATGGCGCTCCAGCTATGGTGGGTTGTGATAAGGGTCTGGTGGCGTTATGTCGTAAAGATGAAACTTTTCCGCAATTTCTCTGTTACCACTGCAGTATCCATCAGCAAGCATTATGTGAAAATGTCCTGAAGCTAAACAACGTTATGAAACTGGTGGTAAAAATTGTGAACAAGATTAGAGCTCAAGCGTTACAAAGAAGATTATTCAAAACCTTGGCCGATGAAGTTGACTGTCAATACGGGGACCTACTCCTTCACTCTGAAGTCCGATGGTTAAGTAGAGGACGAGTGCTGAAACGTTTTAATGATGTTCTATCTGGCATAGTTCAATTTTTCAAACAACGCGATGAACCGACTCCGGAACTAGAAAATTCAATCTGGCTTAGAGATTTTGGTTTTCTCGTGGACATTACAGAGAAATTAAACGAACTTAATTTGCAGCTTCAGGGAGAGACAAAGAACTAGCGGAAATGATTTCTGATATAAAAGCATTTATTAAAAAGCTGGAGTTTTGGGAACAAAACCTAATTAGATTAGATTAGATTAGATTAGGAGTTGGACGTTATTTGTCCTTGTCCACCGCGACCTTTTCAGATCTATTGTGGGACTCCGTTTGTTTTAGAGTATGTCGTCTTGCCTGGTCTTTTTTATTAGACTTAGTAGCTTTGACAGTGGCTCCCGCATGTAGTTGCATGCAATTGGCTTTTCTTCGCCCAATGTTAGAAACCTCATTCCAGCCAAGCCTTCACATTGGCACAGGACGTGGAATGATGTTTCCTCTTCTTCTTCACAGAACCTGCACAAAGTTGCTTCTTCTGCTGGATTTATGACACTCATGTGCCTTTTGAGGCGACAGTGTCCAGTAAGAAGGCCTACTGTTATCTTAACGATTTGACGTTTTTGATCCAGTAAGTCTTTCGTAAACTTGACCGATGGTTCCTTGATGAACTGTTTGGCCTGTCTCAGTCTTGGATAGTTGTTCCACCATTCCTGAGACTCTTTTTGCATCCATTGTTTAGTGGATGCCTTGCACAATGCCTTAGCGACTCCACAAAAGGGTTCAGGGCCTGTCATGGCCTTATCTGAGCCTTCTCGGGCTAATTCGTCGGCCTTTTCGTTGCCCTGATATCCCTCATGGCCTGGAACCCAGGCTAAGGTCACCTAATTAACAGCGATGCCAAGCATTTTCCTATTCTTTCAGAAAAAATATCTCAAAATCCATTAGAACCCAAATATCATGTAGAAATAGTTTCTACCCTGAAGAATAACTTCAAAAATCGTTTTAAGGATTTCAACGAAATGGCTTTAGTAGCGCAGTTTGTTGTTTCACCCTTTATGGAAATTGATATCCAACAGTTTGCAACTTGTGTTATGCAGAACTTTGGCGAAGACATCGCTGCAACAGAAATGGAAGTAATTGAGTTTCAAAACGATTTAGCCTTAAAATCGTTAGTCTCAAGTACCAAATGTATCTGGCCTATTGTAAGTAAAGACAAATATTCAGTTCTATGCCGTGTTGCCTTGAAAGTGAAAGCATTATTCAGTTCAACCTATTTGTGTAAATCTTCTTTTTCCAATATGAAGTTTATTAAGAACAAATATCGCAATCGACTTACAGATGAATATTTGAATAATTGTATTCGAATGGCTGTATCAAATTATACTGCAAACATTAAAAAAATTATCGATGAGTCTGAGTGTCAGCCTTCTCATTGAACGTGCTTTTTTATTTTTCAATGTTTATGTTCATGATAGTGCGTTACTTTTTTGTTATTATTAACTATTTTTAAATCTTACGTGACATGCCGTTGTGGCAGGATAAAAGTTTGTGTTAATTTTTTAAACACCTTCGTTTGGTAGGTAGGAATGTAACTATGAACAAGTACGTACTAGTAATATTAGTTATTTTGTTATTAGTTTATTATTAGTACCTATGTATTATGTATTACCAGTTAAATAGTAAAATAAATATACATATAATGATAAATTAACTGAGGATTATTTTATTTACGTTGCGTTACGTGGCTCGCTGTTTATTTCAAAATTAACAAAGTAGCTCAACACATTGAGAGGTTGGCGACCACTGTTCTAAGTGGTCCAGGTAATTTAAATGGTTTACAAAATAGAAATTGACGTTTTTATACTAAATTTTAGAAAAGATCTTCATACTTCAAGTATTCTAGCTAATTTAAATCATTTAAAAAATATAAATTAATCGTTTTAACTTTAAGTTTTGGGCATCATCTTCATAAAAAATACTTTTTAACCACTCTGCAGATTTACTCCAGGTGTTTCTGATGGCTTAAATTTACTTTTTGACATGTTTAATATCATCTTCATAGAATAGACCATTATTAAACATTAATTAGATATTCTAGGTAATTTGAATGGTTTAAAAAATAGATATATATCCCTCTAGGTGTTTTAAATAAGTTATTGGCCGTTTTCACTATAAATGAGTTAGTTCATTTTTATATAAAATATTTTTAAACTTTCTCCAGGTATCCTAAGTAATTTAAATCGTTTAAAAAATATAAAATAAACTTTCTCACTCTAAATTTTGAGCATCATCTTCACGGCACTTTCAAGATCAAAATTACATGTGGCAATAATATCAACAAAAACTTGAAGTACATGTAGGAAGTGTACTGAAAACTGCATGTCGATATCTCTTTCCGTTTTTGAGTTATAAGTTGTTAAAATGTGTCAATTTATAGATGGATACCCTGTACTTCAGAGTAGCTAGTATGCTTGTCTCATTCTTCCATAGCAATAATACATTCTTCTCTCAAAATTTCTACTACCTAATATTTAAGAATAGATACTCAGGCAGGTATATTACAGATTTTTCAGATGGTTTAAAAAGATTAAAAGATATACATTTACTGTTTTCATTATAAACGTTTTAAAAAATAACAATCTTTTTGATTATAAATGTTGGACAACTTTTTCACAGTTCATATATTTCTAGTTCTCCAGGTGTTTAAAAGATACTTATAAATTGCCCGTTTTTACAATACAAAATTACAGTAAAAAGTTGATAATGCATGATCAAATTATGACTTAATATATTATTTATGTATAATGACCCTGTATTCAGGACAACACAACAATAAATATGTAACAGTGTTACGGGCACCTTGAGCAGTGATTACTGAGCCGAAAATAACGTGGGATAGCCAATAAACTATAATTAAAAACTTTTTTAGAATTTGCACCAACACACCCATAGAAAAATAATTGTAATCCCATAATATTCTATCACCGTGGATAATTGATAAGAAAATTATTATATACTTAGCTTAGAAATAGGTAATTTCAAATAGGTGGTTTTTAAAATAATTTCATTAAAAAATTAATTTTTTTATAGAAGTAGTTCTGTTTATATTTTAATCCTAATTTAGTTCTTTTGTTTTTAACATGTAATTTCCATCTTAACTTGTCATCAAGGGCCATGACAAGGTACTTTCCATTAAGCTTATGAGGTACAGCCTTTCTGTTGATATTTAGAGAGGTTCTGCCATTTTTACTTTCCTATCTGTATACAGATATAAGGAAAGTATAGGAATCATGATTTTTATCGACCTCGAGTTTTCGACGGATTTTTACGTTTTGAGGTACCCTGAATCCGTTTTGACTATTTTCGCGATGATGTCTGTGTGTGTGTATGTGTGTCTGTATGTCGCATAACTCATGAACCGATACACAGAAAAACACCAAATTTTAAACTTAAACTTTATTCTAGCATCCAATGAATTGATTAGATTTTGGGCAGAGTCGGAACATCTGGGGGGATACTTTATAGGTGGTCATTTTTATATTTTATGGAATATATCTGTTATTTACGTTTGGAGAAGAAAATTCTTCAAATAAAAGTTACTTCTAATTATCTATAATTTTTGTTTTATACAAAATTTTCTTAAAATGGTCCGTATTTGAGAAATTTGACAAAATGTAAAAAAAATATTTTTTTATAAAAATTGTTCAAATAAAAGTTGTTTGTAATATAATTCTCTATAATTTTTATTCCATACATAATTTCTCTAAAATAGACCGTATTTGAGATATTTGAGAAAATGTGTAAATTTAGAATTTTGAAGAAAACTCAAAAACAGATAAAGAAAAAAACATTAAATTTTAAACTCTAGGTTTATTTCGGCCTGACGTGAAATGATTAGATTTTGGACAAAGTCGGAACATCTAGGGGGGTACTTTATGGGAGGCTGTTTTTATATTTTATGGAATTTATCTGTTATTTATATTTGGAGAAGAAATTGTTCAAATAAAAGTTACTTCTAATATTATTATCTATAATTTTTGTTTTTTGTCAAAATTTCCTGAAATGGTCCGTATTCGAGAAAGTGCTAAATTTAAATTTTTCAGTATTTTCGTTTTCAATGAATATCTATAGAAAAATGTTTCGAGGTAGATGTATGTGGACAATGTATATATTTAGTTTATTATCTAAACATTTATAGAGATGCTGCAATAGGTTGTACAAAATAACCGGAAAAAGCCTATAATAACTAGATACATCAGATTTTTATGTAGGACACTGTATGTATGTTTTGATGGTGTCAATTTTTGAAAACAAATTTAGTTTGAACATCTTTATTGAATATTAAACTTTGCCAAAAGGCTCTGCAATTTTCTGAGACTCAGTTGTAAGTTTCATATTATATTTTTTAAATTTGCGATTTTTGCGGAATCATCAATTTTCACCTGTGTCATTGTTCTTTCGGAGAAACGAAATAAGAAATTAATAAACACTCACCTCTAATTGAAGTCACAGAAGCCCCATGTTCCATTCGTTGTCTCGTCTTTCCCATCCAAGGTCCAAAACCCATTTTTTTCGCGACACCCGGTATATTTAATTCGGGAAATCTTATGTTCCCGGCGACGAGCTTTCATTCTGACCTCAATACTCAACGTCTCATTCCGTTTCAATAGCAAGCCTTCAATGCCTCCAGGTTGTTATTAAACTCAAATTTTTTTACTTGGTAAAAATATGATATATACAAAGTGTTAAAGCAAAAATAGATATAACTCTAAAACTGTAAATGGTTTGCTTAAAAAATGTCCTAAGACAGTGAATTTTTATGTTACACGAATAAAGTTAAACATAAAAAAATGTATTTCCTATTGCTTAAATTAGCAGATGTGCTTTCGTTTATAAAAAATTTAAAGAACTACATTGCTTGAAAAATAAATAATTTGACCTATATTTATTTACAAGTCTATCTTTATTAAAAAAAAAAAAACGGTTTTTTTCAAATAAGTTCATTTGAGTTTAATAATAATCCTAAAACCATCGCCGACCACTATTTTTGCAGCCTTGTCCATTCGATCTATGCAGAATTTACACCTTCGAAAAACTAAATACTGCAGATTTTCCGCTCGTACTTTTTCCACAGAAAATAAATTCGAAAGGTGTAAAGTTCTGAAGATAAAACGTCTTTATTGTCAAATGAAACGATTACAAATACACCACATCGTCAATGTCGATACAACAGGCAGAAAGATGTTTCTGCGCATGTGTCCCATCGGCATAGACGACGTCAACAAACATGAGTTGCTTTACGAAAAAAAAACTAATTTTAAAACCGGGTAAAATTGATGTATATCTAGCAACTCCAACATACTCCTATCCGTTACATTTTTCGGACATAGCGAATCGACACATTGATTTTAAAGCACTGAAAAGAGAAAAAAATAGTAAAATTAACTATATTTATTGATTAAAATTTGAATAAATAGAAAAACAATTTCAGTTACTCTATAGGTATAAGTCTTCGAGCATATATTACTAGAGCCATCATCCAAATGAACTTTGTTTTGGTAGAGGAGGGAAAATAGTGTCCAGCATTCCCATTGGGTTTCGTTTTGCTTGGCATGTCAAATGTTCGAAATTGTCAGAACTGTCATTTGACTTAAATACGTAATGCAAGTTTATAAAATATGTGCATAATTTAAAGAATTTTGAAGGTATGTATCAAATTTATTATTTATATTAATTGCAAACCCCGTAAAAATGATCGACACTGGTAATAGTGTCTAGGCATTTTCCCTCATAACGTATGCGGACTCTATGAAATATATATGCTCGAAGGTATAAGTATATTTGTTTTAAATATCAATATTTTTCCTTCTAAACGGCATGCCATTGATCTACATTAAAAATATCACTCCTATTTCCCTCTTTCTATAAAGGTACGCCATTGATCTATATTAAAAATATTTATGCGTCAAAATAATCAAATTATAACTGTAAACGATATACTTAGGACATCAAGTAATAGGCTATTGATTATGTTTTAAGAAGAGAGCAATATCTCAGCTAATTCATTTTTATCAAAAAAAAAAAAGTTTATAAGTTTTATAAACCACCATTTTAAAGGGAATTCAATCTACTATTATATATTATATATTATATATAAAGACCGGACAATTTAATTTATTCTTATCAGCGAAGTAACGGTAAGAGCGGACCTTCGATTTGAATAATACATTCTGAATAAAACAAGTTATTTACTGAACTGGTCGACACAGTAGATAAGATATTGGATTTTTATCGCCCGGGCGTAACATTTGGGGCGGGCTTATTATTACATTTACATTGCAATAATTATTTTATTAAATTTTAGTTCAAATTTGGTTGGATATTATTATATAATTACAAATGATATTATTATTTATTTTTTTATTGTGTTGTGGGATAATGTTGTTGGCTTTTTCTGTTAATATATTATTGACTAATAAATATATCAACGAGGATACACCATCATTAGTTTTCCAATATACACTCTTTATCCTAAAGTAGCAAATATACAATTATATACAATATATACAATACAAATTAATATCAATCTTCTTCATTTGAAAAATATGTTTGTATGACTGCATATTTTTCTAAATTGTCTTCAGTGAAATTACTTCTTTTAGAAGTCAATAAATCTTTAAACCTAGAAAACGATCGTTCTACGTCACAACTCGTTACAGGAGCAAATGAAAAATGTGGAACAAAATCACAATATTTTAAAGCAGTTTCATAATCGTTAAAATTGTTCAGGGAGATTTGTTTCAGAGTCTGTAAATTTGGATTTCTTTTAATAACACAATCTATTTTATGGTTAAATTTATCTTGTAAGGGCCACTTTACGTTTTTTAAGTGTAACAATGTCGATTCAAATTTTTCCATAGCAACCGATAATTGTAAGTTACGGGTTTCAAGGAATTTTATAGTTTCTGGGAGACACGAAAAATAAGTCGCAAGAAAATTTAACTCCGACTGCAAAGTTGTTTTTGTTATTAAACCTTTACACTGAGTGATAGAGAGAGCGTCCTCTGATAAGTTGGAAATAAATACTTTTAGTCTGTAGAAATGCTCCGAAAAAAAGAACACAGCCTGTAACCAAGTTCCCCATCGTGTAATAACTGGTTGTGGAGGTAGGGGGATATTCGGACATATTTCTTTATATAAAGAAACTCGGGACGGTGCTTTTAACAAAATTTTTTTAAAACAGCTAATCAACGAATTAATGTCTGGAAAGCTGTCACGGATAAACTCACAAACTCGGTGTAACGCGTGAGCAAGGCAAGTTACATGCAGCATGTTTGGAAAATGTTCTTGTAATAGTTTCCCTGTTTTCAACATTACACTTGCCGCGTCTGAAATAAACAATAAAACTTTTGAAACGTCATTATCAATTACATTGTTCAATCCACGTTTCACTATTTCATAAATCATTTCAGCGTTCACAGTTTCACGAAACACACTAGAAACTAAATACTGTTGTGAAGTATTTTCAGCACTTAATAATCCTACAACAACATTAACAACACATCTACCCTTTATGTCAGTCGTTTCATCTGCACTAACCCAAATATATTTGCTGGAAATTTTCGTTTTTATTGCCGTCATTGCTTTATCGTACTGATTTTGAATATAATGTTTTCTAATTGTGGATTCATCCGGTATTTTACGTTTAGTATATTTACAAAGAAAATTTTTGAAAATTGTATTATTTAATTTTGTTAATGGAATATTTGCAGAAACAAATGCGTTGCATAAATCTTCATAAAAGATTTTGTCTGGACATCCCTCTAAAGATTGCATGTGTTTTTGTGTTTTCACATGTTGTGTCATACTTGACTTTCCATTAAAAACTAACACCTGATCACAATTGCGGCAGTATAATTTGTTGTCATTAAAACGACGAAAACAATCAAAGTCCGATAATAAATTTTCCATATTTACGTTTCCAGTTTCTATCACTTTTCCCTTTGAACTAAACAAATATACTCATTGGAAAAATCTAGTGATATTTTTACAAGACACTTTCTTCTCAAATCTCCTGTTTATCGACTCTTTGTTATCTTTTTACATTTTTTCAACCAACAGATACCTATATAGAGTGAGCAATTGAATTAATACATACATTACAGAAATTTAACAGACATTTATTTTATTGTCTCATCGTGTATAAGTACCATAATATCCACAGGAAATAAAAACATAAATGTTTTGTTACAAAAAATCGGTATGTACGGTATCGATAAAAGCCAAAATATTCATAAATATAATATAAGGATTGACTTTATTTGAATAAAAATATCACCGGCAACTAACCGACAATGGATCGAGAAAGTATAAGACAACATATGATGGGCCTATTTGACATTCATTTTAGGCCCTCTCTACAGCGTCTTAGTCCAAACGCTCGTAGAGTCCTAATATTTGGCCCCGATGCAATTTCTCCAACAATGAATCGGGACCAGCTAAGGCTAGAAATTTCCAATTTTCTGGAGGAAATAACAAATTCGGGGGAGGCAGCTGGGGTCCTCGATCCTCATTTTAGGCAGGAGAGTAGTGTACCACGCCAAAATATTGAGGAATAGATATTTTGTAATTATATAAGAGATAATAATAAAAAAAATATCATACAGAATATCGTTTACATTACTACACCTTAAACTCGCTTATGAAAAGTTTAACATCTTCATCAAAAAAGTTATTTTTTTTTAAGGAAAATTTCTCAGGCCACAAATTAAAGGATCTGAGGTTACTAAAAACTTTTGTAAAATATCCTACATATCCTCGGCGTTGGTGAGAAGAAAACATTAAATTTGTTTAATGAAAATGATTCAAAAGACAAAGAATATAGGTACACGATAAAAAAAAATCTCACTTTTTTGTATTAGTTTTAATGTCTATGTATATATCAGTACACTTTTTTTATCTTATTTTAATAAAAAAAAGAGGTTTGTCCTGATAGTATTAGAATCTGCCGCACTGTCTGCCGTCTTAAATAGCGAACCCAGAATGAGACGCCTATGTGATTAAAACCAATTATTTGAACGCGATTAAAATGTCCGGTCTTTAAATTTATATATTATATTATTACTATATATGAAACAATGCCTAACACCTATCTCTACTCAGATAGCAATTATAAGCAAAAAAAGTAGAAAGAAAATATATTATTTTGTTTTTTTAAATACTTTTTTATATTTTTACTTCATAAAAAAAATTTATATAAATAATTTGATATGAAATCGTCATCATATTAACTGCATGAATTTTGCTTCGCTCAGAAAGCAATTATATACAAAAAGAGCAAAAAAAATTGGATTTTTTTCTTTCTTAAATTCTTTTTTTTTTATGTAATTTTTACCTAAAAAAATTTTACATAAATAATTTGATGTGAAATTGCACTCTTTACAAAAATTTCATATTAATTATTTATACTTGAATTCATTGGCGGAGGAAGGGGATCTGGGGGGCTTAGCCCCCCCTCCCCCATGTATACCCAGGAAAAGTTATTCCGCGGCTAATGCTTGAATTTTGCTTTATTTTCAAAATATTTATAATTAAAAACCTCTTAAGGGTTGCATTTTCACCCCTATCTCCATTTTCCACCTACTAATTCAATAACATTTAGCTAAATTTTCAATGGTGGTCAAAACCAAATATCCCAAAATTATTTTCTTGTGTACAGGGTGGCCCAATAGTAAATTAGGCAAATCACTTATTTTTTTTAAATGGAATGACCCAACTTTTTTTCCAATTTTAGGTACTCTATGGTCACTAGTGCATACCCACAAAATATTGTTTCGAACATCCTACTCCTTTCGCAGAAAAAGAAGAAATACCAAAAAATATTACATTTTCAGACGCCTATTAAAATATGCAGTGCTCTCTCGAATTTGACGTTAGAATTTAAAAAACTACAAATGTATAAAGCCAATAGACCAAAGATTTTTTTAGACCAAGTTTTAATTTTTTATTTTGTACAGGGTGGTCACAAATTAATTTCAATTTCCAAAAAATTCTAGGACATTTTTTTCAAATTTTTCAAATAGAACAACCTGTATTACTATTCATCGATGAAACGAGAATTTTATACACTTCGACTTCCCCATGTACTTTCCTATACCTATCGGTCGTCGTTTAAAAGTAAATTCCAAAAAGACATTGATCTATCAAAAATCCAATTTCTACCAGTGGTTTTATTGAAAGTGAACATTCAATCAAGTAGGCTGGGTCTTAATGAAGTGTCAGATTATTTATTAATGAAGTGTCAAGTTATTTTTACTGATCGCGATAATTCTTCTATTAATAATGAATTTTACGAAAAACGAATTAATTGACATGGTCTATGTTTTGGGAGAATCCGACAGAAATTGTTTATTGGCAAAAAAAATTTATCATCAACGATATCCCGATAGACGCATCCCTTATCAAAAAAGTTTTGAAAAGTTACATGAAAGATTTACCGAAACAGGAAATGTTGCTTATAAAAAACCAATAATTGACAAACGTGCTACTGATAATGATAACCAATTATCTGTAATTTTGACAGCGATAGAAGGATCCTCATGTAAGTCAAAAAAAGATTGCCGAAGTAGTAGGTATAAGTAGAACATCCGTTAGAAGGATTTTAAAACAGCATCAATATCATCCTTATAAAATACAATTGCATCAAGAGCTGAAAGATACCGATTTTGATAATAGAATGGTGTTTTGTAACTGGGCACAAACTAAACTGCAACAAAATCCATTTTTTTTTTTTGATAGAGTGCTGTTTTCTGATGAATCGACATTCCACAAGAACGGATTCGTTAATAGACATAATTTCCACTATTATTTCACGGAAAATCCTAACATCATCAGAACACATAGCCAAGAAAGATAGAGTGTAAATGTTTGGGAAGGTATAATTGGGGATCATGTTATTGGGCCGTATTTTTTTGAAGGCAACTTAAATGGTCTGATGTATTTAGATTTTTTAGCAAATCATCTTCCTACTTTACTTGAAAACATTTCCCTTGCTGTAAGACTAACAATGTGGTACCAACATGATGGGGCAGCAGCGCATTTTTTACGCGAAGTGGCAGATGAATTAGATGAAAAGTTTCCAAATAGATGGATTGGTAGAAATGGTCCAAAAAAATGGCCAGCTCGATCACCTGACTTAACAAAACCCGATTATTTTTTGTGGGGTTATATTAAAAATCTAGTCTATCTTACGCCACCTACAACACCTGAAAATATGAAAGAAAGGATAGTGCAAGAGTTCAATTCCATTACAGCTGATATGCTTAGAAACGTTTCTCGATTATTCGCCCAACGAATAAATGTATGCATTAGAGAAAATGGCAGACATTTTGAGCATCTTTTATAAAATGTAAATTTATGTTTTAGGATAAATTTCAAATAAATTTTATTATCGTAATTTTCTTCCTTTTGAATTTATTTTATAACGGCGACAGATAGGTATAGGAAAGTACATAGGGAAGTGGAAGGGTATGAAATTCTCCTTCACTTGATGAATAGAAATACAGGGTAATACATTTGAAAAATTTTAAAAAATTTCCCTCGAAATTTTTGGAAAGTGAAATTAATTTGTGACCACCCTGTAAAAAATAAAAAATTCAAACTTGGTCCAAAAAAATCTTTGGTTTATTGGCTTTATACAATCGTAGTTTTTTAAATTCTAACATCAAATTCGAGAGAGCACTGCATATTTTAATAGGCGTCTGAAAATGTAATATTTTTTGGTCATTTTTTTTTCTGCAAAAGGGGTGGGATGTTAGAAACAATATTTTGTGGGTATGTACTAGTGACCATAGAGTACCTAAAATTGTAAAAAAGTTGGGTCATTCCATTTAAAAAAAATTAAATGATTTGCCTAATTTACTATTGAGCCACCCTGTACACAAGAAAATAATTTTGGGATATTTGGTATTGGCCACCATTGACAGGTATACATCAAATAAATCGTTAAGATTTGCATAGTAGGAGTTATAGAACTACGACAGAGGTTTGGCCAACCCTGTATATGAAATATTTAACAGACTATAAAAAATTTGTAAGTTTGCAAACTGCATTTTCGTTTTAATTTCAACATTTCTTGCATTAAAATAGGTGAAAATTGCCCTACACCATTTCCATATTTATATATTTATGTTGTATATTTGAAATGGTTACGCTACTGATTTGAAGTCAAACATCAAATTTATAAAATGGCGGTGGTTGTATCGACAAATTCCCGCATACGACTGCAACTTCAGGTGGTTTCTTCTTTCGTAAAACGAATTCTATTAAATTTAAGATAAAACCTAACAATTCGTTATATTATAGAATATCAAAATATAATAAAAGCGTGTTAAAAATAGAGATAGGTATGTGTAAATCAATATAGGTACATAGGTACTGATTGTTACATTGAAAATTGAGAATGATCACACGTAGAATAGCTAAACACTATTTGATTACCTAGAATACATTTATTAATTATATTGGTAAGTTATCAAACACTTTTTTTCACTAAACAGTTCAATTTCTTAGATTTTGATAACATTGGATTTCGTTTTACAATCGATAAGATGCTTTTCGTTTTTATTGGAACACAACGTTTAATTTTATATGAATTTATTTACCTTTAGTTCCATTCCAAACTCAGGAAGAAGACACTATAAATAAACAGTTCACTACATGTAAAATTTACAAATAAAGTCAAGATCTATATCGCTAAGATCGATAGGAACGAGTTTTTCAAAGCGTAGACCACGCACAACACAAATGACTTTCCTACGCGAAGCGTTAGCGTTGTTTCATCCCTGCGCAGTAATCTAACGCACATCAATCGATCAAAAAATAGATCCGCAAAATAAGGTAATTTTTTATAGAAAAAATTGATATTATTAAAAAAAGAAAATTGTTAAATTAAATTACATTAATTGAGACGTAAATTAAATATTACATAAATGCATTTTTTATACGAATATAACTAAATATTTAAATAGGTATTTATGCAACATACAATACTCGGTTTGACATAATTAGTTGCCTAACAATGATATAATTTGAATAAAGTAAAAAACAGTATACGAGGGGATTCCAATTAGTTCAATTTCCTACAAATTTTTAAGACGGCCGTTTAAACCTGACCTATTCAGAATTTTGAGCCGTTACATACAGTGATGCCAGAATATGTTTGTTATATACCAGATTTGTCTAAAAAATGTGGCATATTTCAAAAAAATGTAGGTACCAAAAATTTTCTAATTCTCTTTACAGTGACTATTTTCGTGATGATGTCTGTGTGTGTGTGTCTGTGTGTTTGTGTGTCTGTGTGTCTGTGTGTCTGTGTGTCTGTGTGTCTGTGTGTCTGTGTGTCTGTGTGTCTGTGTGTCTGTGTGTCTGTGTGTCTGTGTGTCTGTGTGTCTGTGTGTCTGTGTGTCTGTGTGTCTGTGTGTCTGTGTGTCTGTGTGTCTGTGTGTCTGTGTGTCTGTGTGTCTGTGTGTCTGTGTGTCTGTGTGTCTGTGTATCTGTGTGTCTGTGTGTCTGTGTGTCTGTGTGTCTGTGTGTCTGTGTGTCTGTGTGTCTGTGTGTCTGTGTGTCTGTGTGTCTGTGTGTCTGTGTGTCTGTGTGTCTGTGTGTCTGTGTGTCTGTGTGTCTGTGTGTCTGTGTGTCTGTGTGTCTGTGTGTCTGTGTGTCTGTGTGTCTGTGTGTCTGTGTGTCTGTATGTCGCATAACTCGTGAACCGATACACAGAAAAACACCACATTTTAAACTTAAGCTTTATTCCAGCGTCTAATGAACTGATTAGATTTTGGACAAAGTCGGAACATCTGGGGGGGTACTTTATATGAGGCCGTTTTTATATTTTATGGAATATATCTGTTATTTACATTTGGAGAAGAAAATTCCTCAAATAAAAGTTACTTCTAATATAATTATCTATAATTTTTGTTCTATACATAATTTCTCTAAAATGGACCGTATTCGAGATATTTGAGAAAATGTGTAAATTTTGAATTTTGAAGTAAATTCAAAAACGGATAAAGAAAAAAACATTAAATTTTAAACTTAAGGTTTATTTCGGTCTGACGTAAAATGATTAGATTTTGGACAAAGTCGGAACATCTGGGGGGGTACTTTATGGGAGGCCGTTTTTATATTTTATGGAATATATCTGTTATTTATGTTTGGAGAAGAAAATTGTTTAAATAAAAGTTATTTCTAATATTATTATCTATAATTTTTGTTTTATGTCAAAATTTCCTGAAATGGTCCGTATTCGAGAAATTTGACAAAATGTGCAAAATTCTGATTTTTATGAAAATTGTTGAATTAAAAGTTGTTTGCGATATCGATCTCTATAATTTTTGTTTATACATGATTTTTCTAAAATGAACCGTAATGGAAAAGTGCTAAATTTAAATTTTTCGGTATTTTCGTTTTCAATGAATATCTATAGAAAAATGTTTCGAGTTACCTCGAAACATTTTTGTGGCCAATGCTTTATCCTCTAAACATTTATAGAGATGCTGCAATAGGTTGTACAAAATAACCGGAAAAAGCCTATAATAACTAGATAGGAAAGCCATGTGTTGGACACATCAGATTTTTTAATTAGTCCTTGTCCCTAATTCTCCATTTGCTAGCAGTTTGGAGTTTTCTTACTGATCTTTCTTGTTACTGATTAACTGTGGGGAGCAGTATCATCACTGAATGTAGATGCAGCAATATCTTCCAGAGTAAGTATAAGGTGGGCCCAAGAACACTTGCTTGTGGCACTCAAGCTCTTATTTCTTTTAAATTAGAATATTCATCTTTCTGCTTGATTCTGAAAAGCTTGTCTGAGATAAATGATGCTATAATGTCTACATATTACTTTAAGAGTATTTTTTTTTGTTTGTTAACCAAATCTTCAAGCCACACCTTGTCAAAGGCTTTTCTACGTTAAGCACCAGTTTTATAAAAATTTCATGATATCTAAATGTTTAATTTTAATTTAAAACATCTTTTATGCATTAACTTGTTCTAATAATTAATTTCAACCAAATTGTTCCAAATTATTGCATTACATTTTTGTTATTTATTCAGGATTTTAATAATTTAAAAAATATCATTGACTTTTTGATTTATAAGGGATATTATTTCTATTAATCATTGTTATTTAACTAGTCATTACATTTTATTAATGTTGATTTATTTTTGTTTTTTGGTTTTTGTTTTTGTCATTTCTTGGTACCATTATTTTATGTACAGTTCATCAAATTTCTAGAGGCTTTCGTCGGCTAGACAGAGAAAGCACTACTGACAGGCATCCCGACGGATTTACGCAATGAAAGTACACTCTGCGCATCAAGTATTTCACTATTTCATTCAGACGTAAATGTCAGATGTAAATTTCGCTAAAACATTTCTTTTATTTTCGTTTGTGTTTTTTGCTCATTACAGTTTAATAGAACCTAAGTATGGAGTTTAATAGCAAATTAAGAGGCCGCGTGATTAACAGTCAATCTCGAGAAATAATAGCCAATGTTATAGAGTTTATGAGAAGAGAAGGAAACTTTAATTCACCTTCAATACCATTTAAAAATGTAAATGATCGTGTTGCTGCAGCCACAGGAGTATCTAAAAACACTGTCGTCCGCATTTCTGGAGAGAAAAAAAGAATCGATAACCGTGAGATATCGGAATTTTCATCACCAAGAAAAACCATTAAAAAACCAAAAACAGTTAATGATATAGATGAAGCTGCACAAGAATCAAATTTTATTTTTTTATTATTAGATAGCTATTTTTGTTTCTGAGTTGTGTTCATTTACAGGCTCAATTTTTTTCCGTTTCTCCTTTTTGATTTTATATGGGGTTTCAAGTTGTTTTTGACTTATTTCGACGTAAATCACAACAACACACTTTCTTAATAAAGCAAAAAAGTGTTAAGAGGTATATGTACGTGTAAACTACAATTACAAAAAATTGATATGAAACCCATGAAACCACCAACAAAAATGTAAAGCTAGCTTCCGTACATGGTGTCATTCGTCGAGATAATTTATCGTTTTGTTTAATAGATCAAGAAATGTAAATATTCCCCTGTTATTTTTTATAAAATTATAAGAGAAATAAATTTTTTTCTAAATAGTATAGTTTATTATTTTGTAGAAAAACAAAATTTCGAAAATTTTAGTAATGTTTCAGAAACAACCGTTATTAATAATAGGTACCATTTTCCTTAATAAGGTAGAAATAAAATATAAACTATTTCCACGATTTACAAAGGCCTACAAAAAAATTATATGTATTTTCCGCTATCCTATAAAATTTATATTTTCTGACTCAATTTCAAAAGGTTGAAGGAATTCCAAAACACCTTTTATGGCATAATAATTATTTTCAATTCTACATACTATCTTTAGCTGCTTTTAAAAACGTTCTAAGAAAGTCCAATCAGACCAATTTAATCCCTAAACTATTCCACACTTTTAAAATTTAATTACCTAAAAATATTAAAAACTATTTAAAATAACTTGTTTAACAGAGCTATCTTAGTCACACGTAGCGCGTTCTCTGTCTGGGCGTCGAACACCTCTAGAAATTTGATGAACTGTAACACGTATGTTTTTCTTTATAGGCATGAACCGAAATTAGTCGCCATTAGTTTTTAAATTTAATAAATAATTTCCATATATTATGATAATTATTTGTTCCAGAGCGAAGTACTAAAAATGACAATATACGAATTAGTGGGCGAAGAGGAACACGCGACTCTATATAACGTCCTGAATCCGTCCGACATAGAAAAACAAGTGTCCTTCTCAGTCCATTTGAAAAGGGGAGGCCCGATACCGAAGACCGACTCTGTGTTCGAACCAGTTCATTTTATAGGATACTTTAGTAAGTTTTCAATACGTAAAAGTTATTCAACATTTTTATTTTTAATAGTTAGGAAGAAGTATTGAGAATTACTGATAATATTTCAACAATACTAGATGGTCCAAGAGAAGATCCTTGTGGGACTTACGTAATAACTGTTTTTTTCTTCTAAATTCATCGATTCATTTGATAATAATGATAAATGCTTTTGTTGACCCAACCATGTAGAAAATCGATTTTTTTACAACTTTAACCACAGCTTATACAATACAGCTAAAACACTCTCTTGGCGGCAACAGTTTGCGTCGATTTCTTCGCGCATCGCTTAAGCTCCGCCTTCGGAGGGAAAAGACGGTTTTGGCGTTCAGAAGCGTACTTAGGTAAGGTGTTGAGTCGTGCGTATAATTTCGTTGATTATATAATTTCGTGGAGCCTATAATTTCGTTGATTTTGTTTGAGTTAAAGGTACTGTTATTATTTTGGTGACTCTTTAGCTGTGAGTAGAATGAGTGAAAAAAAAAGAAATCATTCTGTTTGTGCAGTCAAAAGCTGTTTTAATAAGGGTTATACCTGCAAGAAAACATTCTTTAGTTTTCCCAAGGACCCAAACCAATAAGTACCACATTATAAGAAATTTTCATTGTTAAAAATATAATTTATACAGGGTGTCCCATTAGTGCGTTATTGTTCATTATTTTGTTATAGACACGCAAAAAAGTTTTAAATAAAAGTTATATGGATTTGAAAAATACCTACATATTTAAAAAGTTCTTTGGATATACAGGGTGTCACGTTTTTGTCTGGCAAATTAAAATGTATGTTTTTTAAATGGAACACATTGTATTTTATTTTATGATGAAATTATTAACACCCTAAATTATTGTAAAGACGAGTTGCTACAGAAAATTTTTATCAGGTATGTGTGTGGTTACCTTTTAATAAAAGCCTTGAGGATCCACTCCTGTGATACCTGTCTTATATATAACAAAGAACACGTTGAATTAGATGATTTTTCTTTTTATTGATTTTTAAAGGCATATGATAACGCCAATTCAGAGATACATTTGTAGAACTAATATTCAATATTGAAAAGATATTTCAAAATAATTTTGAAGAATTGGCTATAAAAAATAACATTTTTACCACACTTTTAGAATTAATTAACCCAATACCCTTTAGTCATCCATGCTAATGTTTTTTAAAAGAATAATCTATTTTAATGTATGTTTAATCTCAATAACTAAAAAATATACTGACAATTAGTTTGACAGAATTGCCATTTATTTAAAATTTTAAAAATAATAGCAGTCGGTTGATCAAAATAGGAACGGTGATTGACGAATTTATTTTTTTTGCAGTGTTCTTACTACCTAGAATGAATATGAAATATATTCGTTCAATTGAAGGCAATAGCATACTTTTTCGTTTTGTAATCTGTGCATGGATATTATCCAATCTACGCACATACTACAAAACGAAAAAGTACATTAAAATTTTTGTGTAGACTCGATGAATAATAGCATTTTTGTTTTTATTGTGTCCACATTAAAAAAAAAAAAATTTTAATCAAACTACATGATACTAATTTAATTACGAGTATTAAAACTAAAGTCCTGAAAGTTTCGGTGAAGATGAGGATAGAGCATCTGCCTTCCACGCTAAAAGCCCGGGATCGAATCTAGGCCTAGGACTAATTATTTTTTTATGTTTATTTTATTTTATAAATTAGCCAACTTCGTAAATTATTTTAAAATTAGTTATTTTGTCTAAATAACCTAAAATCATTTTTTAAATTTGTAGATTTTCGTTAGTGGGTCGTAGAAAAAATATACTGACCATATCGAGTGGATTGTTCATATCACAATCAGACGATTGAGTACTCCGCCTACGACGTCGCGCTCAAACTTCGTCTTTGTGTGATATGGCAATCATATCCACCCTTGTTGAACAAACTACTATTTATTTGTTTTCTTGGTTTAAGTTTTACATCAGAAATAGGAACTAAATTAATTTACTTTTCAAGTTTTCTTGTAAAAATCGATATTACTTTCTCCAAGTACAAATTTAGTACCTACCTAAAATAAGTAATAATTATGTAATTTCGTGTAATATTGTAATTCAAATTTCACATTACTATAAAGGTTCAAAATTCCCTACTTCGGTATGGTCAGATAAAAATTGAATATATTATATTAATAAAAACTGTCAAAGTATTACTTCTACAAATCTGTATTTCAATTAATAAGAATACATCTAAATATAACCTATATTGTTAAAATAAAAGCACAAATTCTTTATAATTCCAAAATACCATAGAGTTCCCAGACCTCAGTTGAAGCATTCGTTTATTTAGGTATAAACCCTTTGCGCGAAGAGTAACACTTGCCAGACACACGGGGTACTACTTGATTTGCATCCACGAGCGTGACAAAATTATTTAACAATTGAAGCCCTTGGTGTAAAAAGGATCCAAGCCACAAATTGTCGTGAAGTGACTGTTTTAGCTCAAAACATTTGTTAACGAGGATTTTACTAGCCACATACAAATTATTCAACCTCTAATTCGAAAGATGTGCTATTTTTCGTAATATTTATATTTAAATAATTTTTTAATTATATTTGACAAATTTAAAACAAATTAAAAATTTAATTTTCCAAAACTTACTTAATATGGGATGTAACCAACCTTATTACGCCAAGGTTTTCAATTTTTTCAATAATAAAAAAATATTTTAATCCGGGCCCGACTTTTCCCTCGAATCTAACAGAGATAGCACCATTCCGTCTTGCTTGGTTCTCGACCGCCAGATCAAAGACGCCGACACGGAGTTGTGTAGCTGTATTGTATAAGCTGTGCTTTAACTTCATGTATCTCAGAAACAAAGCGTTTTCGAACATATTTTTATTAGTAAAAAATAATGTTAATGTCCCTAACTACCCCTAAAAGTTTGTCGTTTTATATACCAAAACAGTTTTCTGACTAAAAAGTCTGAAACATTGATTTTTCCGAGCTCTAAGTTGTAAGTGGAAAAATAAAAAAAATATTGTAGCCATTTTACTCTATACTAAATTTATAATTTTATTAGTTAAATTTCGCAATTGCTTATCATAATCATAATACTCATAAAATTGCGTGTAGCTTTATTCAGAACTATTTTGTTAACTGGCCATTTTATTTTTCATAAAATTGAAAATGTCTCGTACAAACAGTAGGTATAAAACACGTGCGAAAAGTTGCTGATAATTAATTGACTTCTGTAACGACATTTTTATGAACTTTAAAACGATCTTTGTTAACAGTTGTAGGAGGGAAAGATATTATTAAATCGTAGAAATTCCTTGCAAATGCTTTTATGCGATTTTAAAAATAATTATTACCTAATTGTAACTGTAATTATCTCATACTAACGGTATATTGAAGGTGTAGTATGTACAACTACTGGAAGTATTTTACCGAGGAGGTTCGACAACTACATTTTTAATTGGGAGAAAAATATGATTGTTTTTACACTATTGACATTTTCTGAACTCAAAATTCGGTTTTTAAAAAAAGATTTCAAAATTTTAATTCTTATTTGTAGGAGTCGGTAATTTAAAAATGTTTGAAGTACTATACTTTTTTTACAAACTATACTATTTTTGAAAAACAGACGAGACAATAAATAGATCGTCTTTTATGTATTAAGAATAAAATTTGCTACGTTTGGATTATTAAAAGATTTTATAGACCCTGAGTCGATGAGTAATTTTAAATTATGCTCTGTAAAAAATATATAAGTTCGTTTGCATTTTTTATATTATTAAGGGATATGACGTGCGGGGTTACGTTGTGTATCTGCCACGAGGCGGATTCTGAAAATTTGTTTCTGGGTCATTAAAATCAATTAAATCATTTTCAAGATGAACCCTTTCGTTGCCATAAGAAGAGTTATGAACATTAGTCTGTTCAAGATTAATATCGTGAGAACTAGAAAAATTGTCGGCATCTTGACATTCCGCATTAAATAAATTCTTCAGCTATCAAATTCATTTGAGGTTGATTTCGATTAAATTTGGCACCATTTCGGGTAAAAGTACTCATTGGAGTATTTCTGTTAAATGTATTACGCTTGGAAACACTCATTGGAGTAGGTTTTGAAAAATTTTGTGTAGGTGTTTGATTAGGTTTGATAACGTTATTATTTCTATTTTGAAAAAAAACTTGAGCATTAGTAGGAATATTCTGATATTTAGGTACTCGTGGTTGGATGTTTACAGGACCTGTTGGGAAGGAATTTTGTGTTGTAAAGAAATTATTCGGAGTTTGCCAATTAAAATTATATCGAGTTTGTTGATTAAAATTATTTCTAGTATTACCTAAATCGATTTTGATTATTTAAAAATGGTCTCTGTTGTTGCCTGAATTGTTGGGAATGTTGTTTATTAAAATTTCTGTTTTGGTTATTTTCGTTGTAACTTGACAAACCGGGCCCTAACCTAATTTTCCAACCTTGGCCTAAATTTCGTCTAGTGGATCCCCACGAAGTGATGTTAAAACCCCCAGAGTTACGTTTAGAGTTCAATGTAGCTGTAATGGAGGAAGAACAAAGTAAACGCAGAGATTAATTTGAAATACTGTTTATTTAACATCTATTTTTTTTGTACAGCCGGACATTTAGATTATGTGCCGTTTTTAGGCTTAACATTATGTTTATGTAGGCTTTCCAATGTGTCATTTCTAACCTCAGAGCTTTTAGTTCCCATAAAAGGGTAAAATAAAAGTCGGAAGTACTTAAGTATATTTGTTTGTCTCCTAATATACAATCACACGTTTCCACGGAAATACTGAATTACGCATTGTCTAATAAAAGAGAGTACAGCGGTAGCACGGAGAGTTCGGTGAAATATAAAATATTGCGTCGAATTGAGAACCTCCTCCTTTTTTTGAAATCGGTTAAAATAATATTTATAATATGTGTAAAAACCGGAGTGTAGATTTATCTCACCGTGCGTCACGCCTTTCTCTAATATTCCAATGCCGT